CCTGCTGCCTCCACAGGCTCTCCACTTATCTTCCCTACCTCTCCTGCTTGTCCAGGTTCCCCACCCATCCCCCGACTCCCACTGACTCCCTGAGCTCCTCAACCAGCCCCCTGGTCCCTGCTGCCATCCCCTGAGCCCCCTTTCACAGCCTGGCACCCCAGGCGAGCCCTGCTCCTTGCCTCTTGACACAGCCCCCGGTGCCAGGCTTGCTGTGAGCCACGGCTGAGCCACTGCCCTGCATCCGTTCTAAAGGAAACACTGCGTGTGCCCGAAGCACAACACGGCCTCCCTGAGCTCCTCAACCAGCCCCCTGGTCCCTGCTGCCATCCCCTGAGCCCCCTTTCACAGCCTGGCACCCCAGGCGAGCCCTGCTCCTTGCCTCTTGACACAGCCCCCGGTGCCAGGCTTGCTGTGAGCCACGGCTGAGCCACTGCCCTGCATCCGTTCTAAAGGAAACACTGCGTGTGCCCGAAGCACAACACGGCCCCTCCCGCCACCCACCCACAGGCCAGCCCTGCCCTGCACATGCACTTTAGCCCATGTCAGGCACCTGCCGCCAGGGCTGGCGTGTCCCCTCCCCCTGCTCTGCTTCTCTGTGACTGACAAGACTTGATTCTGCAATAAAAGTATGATGATGCTTGAGCGCTGCTGTTATTTAAGCCTCCTCCCCCTCCACACATGTCCAGTGCATTGGATCCCACCCAGGCTGCCTCTGCCCCCAGGACTTCTCACGGCAGGGCAAGGAAGGGTGAGGGAGCAGCCCGAGGCTGGGGGAAGGGGCACAGAAAGGAGCAGCATGTGGCAGATGAGTCTCCTCCCTGCGAGATTTCAAGGGGCAGCGCCCTGCAGATGGTCTCGGCACGGCTGCACCAGCGTGGGGGCCATTTAGGAGGACAGGGGTCCCTGCCATGCCAGCGGGTGGCAGTGATAGGGCAGTCCAGAGACACACTGTCCTGACCGGCTGATGCCCTGAGAGCGGAGCAGGGGGTAGCGGCTCACCCACTTGTTGCTTTGCCCAGCTTGTGGCCCACCCAGCTCTGGTGCAAAATGCCCCCCTCCTTTCATAGAGCTATGGAACATTTGGGTGGGAAGAGATCGACATGGGCGGGTTTGCTGGTGCTCAGGAGGACATGGTTATAATGCAGAGTGATCTGCGCCAACTGGAGAAATGCTCTGATGTAAATAGCATGAAGTTTAAGGACAAATGCAAAGTGCTCCACATGAGAAGCAATAATCCATGTCACATATGCAGAGTGGGAAGCGACTGTCTAGGGAGGAGTTCTGCAGAGAGGAATCTAGGCGTCATCATGCACAATAAGTTAAACATGAGTTAACAGTGTGATACTGTTGCAAAAAAAGCAAACAAGAAACTGGGCTGCATTAACAGGTGTGTTGTGAGCAAGACACCAGACCATTCTGCTCTATTCTGCATTGATTAGACCTCAACTGTAATAGTGTGTCCAGTTCTGGGAACCTCATTTCAAGAAAGATGTTGAGAAATTTGAGAGGGTCCAGAGAAGAGCAACAAAAATAATTAAATGTCTAGAAAAGATGACCTGGAAGGGTATGTCTACACTAGCTCATTAATTTGAACTAGGTAGGCAAATCAGGCAACCGGAGTTGCAAACGAAGCCCGGGATTTAAATATCCCCGGCTTTATTTGCATGTTCCTGTCCGGCTGCCATTTTTAAATCCCCCTTAGTTCAAACGAACTGCCCGCGGCTAAACACGGCAGTTTAAAGTTAATCTGAACTAAATCCTTAGTTCGGATTAACTGTTACTCCTCGTGGAATAAGGTGTAACAGTTCATCCAAACTAAGGATTTAGTTCGGATTAACTTTAAACTGCCGCATGTAGCCGCGGGCAGTTCGTTTGAACTAAGGGGGATTTAAAAATGGTGGCCAGACGGGAACATGCAAATAAAGCCGGGGATATTTAAATCCCGGGCTTCATTTGCAACTCCGGTTGCCTGATTTGCCTACCTAGCTCAAATTAACGAGCTAGTGTAGACATACCTTAAGGGAAGACTGAAAGAATTGGGCTTGTTTAGTTTGGAAAGTAGAAGACATGAAGCAGCTTTTAAGCATTTCAAAGGTCATTACAAGGAAAACGGAGAAAATTATTCTCCTGAACCTCTGAGAATAGGGAGGTTTAGGTTGGACATTAGGAAAATGTCCTGCCTGTCAGGGTGGCTAAACACTGGAATTAAATTGCCTAAGGAGGCTGTGGAATCTCCATCACTGGAGATTTTAGGAGCAGGTTAGACAGACACCTGTCAGGGATGGTTCAGATGGGGCTTGGTCCTGCTGTGAGGGCAGGGGACTGGACTTGAGGAGCTCCTGAGGTTCCTTCCAGTTCTATGACTCTATGACCTGGTCCAACTCCCTGTCCAAGCAGGACCTACCCCAAATGAATCATCCCAGTCAGGGCTTTGTCAAGCTGAGACTTTAAAATCTCTAGGGCTGGAGATTCCACCCCCTCCCTAGGGACCCATCCCAGCGCTTCCCCACCCGCCTAGGAAAATAGTTTGTCCTGATATCCAACCTAGACCCCCTCCCCCTGCAACTTTGGACCATTGCTCCTCGTTCTGCTTCTGTCACCACTGAGATCAGCCTCTCTCCATCCTCTTTGGAACTCCCCTTCATGGTAGCTGACGTCTGCTATCAAATCCCTCCTCACTCTTCTCTTCTCTTCTGCAGATAAAATAAGCCCAATTCCCTCAGCCTCTCCTCCTTAGTCACATGCTCCAGCCCAGCGCATGGCAGGCTGTGTGCATGCCCGCTTTGCCATGGGTAGAGGGTCACCTGACTGTGTGTCTTTCTGTCCCAGGTTCCCCAACAGACCCTGAAGCCAGCTCCCTCCCGGACCGTGCTCCGGGACAATGGCAGTAGCAGCGTATGAGCCGGAAAGAGGTTTGGTGGTGCTGGGGTGACAGGACCAGGGGGTAGGGGAGGGTACACCCCAGCAGCCCTGAAATTCTAATTCCAGCCGAGTTGCCCCTTCCCTCAGTTTCCCTCTTTTGAATGGGGAGAGGAGGAGACACGCTCCCAGATGCATGTGTCACCTGCTCCCTGTGGCACCAGCTCCCCTTAGGGCCTGTCCACAAAGTGGGTTTCAAGGAATTCACAGACAAGGTCAGCTCCCGGAGAAATGCACTAAGCAACGCAGTATGGGAAGGAGGTGGACAGCCCTTAGTGAGGAAAGAACAAGTTAGGAACTATTTAGAAAAGCTAAACATACACAAATCCATGGACCCAGATTTAATGCATCCGAGGGTACTGAGGGAGTTGGCAAATGTCATTGCAGAGCCTTTGGCCATTATCTTTGAAAACTAGTGGAGATCGGGAGAGATCCCGGATGATTGGAAAAAGACAAACACAGTGCCCATCTTTAAAAAAGGGACACAGGACAATCTGGGGAACTACAGACCAGTCAGTCTCACCTCAGTCCCTGGAAAAATCATGGAGGGAATCCTCAAGGAATCCATTTTGAAGCACTTGGAAGAGGGGAAAGTGATCAGGAATAGTCAACATGGATTCACCAAGGGCAAGTCATGCCCTCACCAATTTGATTAGCTTCTATGATGAGGTAACTAGCTCTATGGATATGGGAAAGTCAGTGGATGTGATATACCTTGACTTTAGCAAAGTTTCTGATACGGTCTCCCACAATATTCTTGCCAGCAAGCTAAGGGAGTATGGATTGGATAAATGGATTGTAAAATGGATAGAAAGCTGGCTTGGCTGTTGGGCCCAATGGGTAGTGATTAACGGTTTGATGTCAGGTTGGCTGTCGGTTTCTAGCAGAGTGCCCCAAGGCTCAGTTCTAGGACCGGTTTTGTTCAATATCTTTATTAATGACCTGGATGAGTGATGGATTGTATTCTCAGCAAGATTGCAGATGACATTAAGCTAGGGGGTGAGGTAGATACGCTGGAGGGCAGGGATAGGGTCCAGAGTGAGCTGGACAGATTAGAGGATTAGGCCAAAAGAAATCTGATGAGGTTCAACAAGGACAAATGTAAAGTCCTGCACTTGAGATGGAAGAATCCCAAGCATTGTTACAGGCTGGGGACTGACTGGCTAAGTAGCAGTTCAGTAGAAAAGGACCTGGGGTTTACAGTGGATGAGAAGCCGGATGAGTCAACAGTGTGCCCTTGTAGCCAAGAAGGCTAATGGAATATTAGGGTGCATTAGGAGGAGCATTGCAAGCAGATCCAGAAAAGTGATTATTCCCCTTCATTTGGCTTTGGTGAGGCCACATCTGGAATATTGTGTCCAGTTCTGGGTCCCCCACTATAGAAAGGACATGGACGCATTGGAGAGGGTCCAGTGGAGGGCGACCAAAATGATTAGGAAGACCAAAATGATCATGCTAGAGTGCATGATCTCTTAGGAGAGGCTGTAGGATTTGGGTTTTTTTATTCTGCAGAAGAGAAGAGTGAGGGGGGATTTGATAGCAGCCTTCAACTGCCTGAAGGGAGGTTCCAAAGAGGAAGGAGAGAGGCTGTTCACAGTAGTGATGGATGGCAGAACAAGGAGCAATGGTCTCAAGTTACAGTGGGGGAGG